CGATATCTAGGCGCGTCTAGCGTAGGAAGGCCTCGTCGACAAGAGATATAGCAGCGCCTATATCTAAGCAAACTACGTATTCTATACTGTCCTTCTATAGGCGTACGACTGTACGTAGATAATAATAGCCTCGAAACGCGTATCCTCCTTTAACCTTTAGTAGTATAGCGGACTCGATAAGCCTAGCGTCCTCCTCTATACTATCTTTCTTAGGCGTTAGCTCTATAGCGTACTTAGTGCGCCTATAGTCTTATAAGAGATTGTTGCTATCGAACTTCGCGCTATAATTTACGTATAAGAACTTTAAAGGCTATATCGTAGCGAAGGGTTCTATCGCCGGAAGGAGGTACTTACTAATATATAGGGAAAAGAGTAATAGTAGTAGAACCTCGCTATAGTATACTAATATAGAGTTCTATAAAGAGGCGTTATTATCTATATCGTCTAATCTATAGTAGATATCTACCTAGTCGTTAAAATATACCGGTACGGAGTATAGGCTTACTAGCCTCGCTAAGTAGCGTAAGCTTAATCGTAGGCGTAAGTATAAACGTAGCTCTAGGATAGATATAGGCTCTTCGACTAGAGGCTCCGATATCTACTTATTAGCGTAATAGTTACGCGGGGCGTTATTGCCTTAGCGGCTGCGTTCTTACTAACCCTAGGTATTACGTACGTCGTTTCGCGTATCCTTATTTTACTATTACCTACGATTAGTATTTCGATTGCCGTTACGTACCCCGTAGCCTTAATTATTATTACGTAGCTCCCTATTACGGTTAGAAGCGTACTCTTTTAGGCGTCCCTCTCCCGCTAGGGCTTACCTATCGTTTCCTTAATCTCGGCGCTAATACTAGTTTTAATTAGTATAGCTACTATTTCTAGGGCGCTTATTGCTATAGCCTCCGGCGTAACCGCGACCTAAATTATCGCGATATCCGCGTACTACTACGGCGTACCGATCGTCGAACCTACTACCGTAACCGCGATCTAAAGTGTCGCAATACGCGCCCGAAGACTCGGCGTACCGGTCGCTATTACGAGCGTTTCGGTATTATAACTTACTATTATATCTATTATAGCCTCGTACTATACTGTAGCTATCGGACTATATATATCTACGGTACTATGCTTTATACTTGTCTTTAACGGCTCGTATAAAAGTGTAAATCATATCGCTTAGTAAAGGCTTATCGAGCTTATTCTATAGGCGGGGCTCGAATCGTAACTATACCTAGTAGAGAAGAGCGTACGGTCTATTAGGGTCTATCTCGAGACCTACCTCGCGTACGTAGCGGATATAGTTTATAATAAACTACTAGGGTGCTCTACGGTTACGTATATTCTATACTATATAAGATTCGGCGTATAGCTTATCCTAGGCCTCGATAATAGATCTACTAAACTTGTCCCTTAGTGCCTTATACTAACGCTTAATGCCTTCTCCTCCGCGAATAGTATTACGATTATTACTCGTAAGCTCGTAAATAAACTATTGCTATATAGCCCTATATAGGTACTTAGTAAGCTAGGTACGTATAGTACGAGCGTAATTAACTACGGCGTAATTATAAGCGGCGTCTAGAAAGAGGTATACCGAAGTAAAGGTAACCTTATTACCGTACGTATAGATATCCTAGCTATTAGAGTCTACGTATAGTGCGTCTAGATAGAAGTACCCGATATCTATAGGGTTAAATCTCTCTAGGCGCTAGGAACGCTATAGACTATAATAGGGCGAGCGGGTAAAGCGGAAATTGTCTATATAGTAAGGGTTAAAACTATAACCTCGTAGGCTAAAGTTCCTACTATAGGTACTAGAGTCGCTAGGGCTTAGGCTTAGAGGCCCTCCGCTAGCTGCACCGCCTTAGCTATAGCGGCGTTGTCTAGCCTCGGCGTTGCGTTATACGTTACGCCGTAACTAATAAGGCTAGGCTTCGACTAGGTTAGGTAGTAGGGCTAATAGAACCTACTCCTACGGGACCTATTTATATAAACCTGCCCGCGCGAGGCGTTTAGCTCGTCTAGTATCTAGCCTATCTTATACTAAGCTCGAAGGGATACTTTAGCGTAACTAGTCGATCTCGTCCCGGATTTTATCCCTAAGTTACTAGGTTTAGATAACTTATTAATTTAATAGTTGTCTAAATAGCTAGCGTATCTTATTGCGTAAAACGGCTAGGTTAGCGGCATTTAGGATTTCGCCGTTAGCGTCTTTAGCGGCCGCGTTAGCGCTAGTAGCGTTCTAGTTCTCGCGTACCGGGACTTCGCGTAGTACGCCCTCTCGTAGGTATTAAGGCTACGGGTTGTTATAGGCTAGCTACTTGCTATTACGCTAGTTTTAGGAGGATAGTCCTACGCTAGCGTTACGTACTCGCTAGCGGTCCGCGACTAGGCGTCTAGCCTCTATACCTAAGAAAGCGTCGACTAATCTATTATAGCGCTACTAGCGAGGAGATAGGTTACGCTCTATACTAGGCTCTATATATACTAAGTCTATATGCTAGATATCTAGGTCTATATCTTAAGATATATCGACTATATTCTTAGCCGATATAGGAGGGAGTAGGCGCTCTTACTCTTATCGTTAGGGTCCTCGCTACTAAGTACCTTATCGCTAAAGCTTAGGAGCTAGTAGAGAGGACTCTAGACTACTTAGGGCCGGGAGCTCCTACTATTTAGGCTTAGGGCTCTCTCGCTCCGGAGCTTGCTACTTAGGACTCTACTACTCTATATCCTAGTACTCGGGCTTAGGACTGTATTACTTAGGACCTTGCTATTTAGAGCTCTACTACTTAGGGCCGACTAAAACCGGTAAGGACAAATTAGGACTGCTTATAGGTAATAGCTCTAAGGTACTAAGTTCTCGTAGACCTAGGGGAAAAACAATTAGTAAGGACCTATAGCGTACGTATATAATATATCGCGTACTAGCTACTAAAATCGTCCGACGGCGACGTAGCTATAGACTAGTATCCGGACTTACGGGCACTACTATATCTAGAGAGGGTAGTGCTAGTTCCGGAGTAGGAGCCGCTAAGTCGTTAGGTCCTATTATATCTAAAACTATAAGTTCGTTATAGAGAGTAAGTAGCGTCTTCGCTACTACCGTAACTAAAGAGCGGTTAACTACCTAATCCTAAGGGAAACCGAGGGTAGTACCGCCTCTAGTATCCGAGAGTTTTCGTAGTATATATTCTTCTAAGGGCTAATAGTACGTAGTAATTTTCGTAACGACTACTATAAGCGGGTCTCTTTACTTCTAGTATACTAACTTAGCGTAACCGGCGTTAGCTAAGAACTCCTTAAAGCAAAAAGCGATATTTAACGAGTAGGCGTCTAAATCGGGGCGTACGGAAGCTAGCGTATTTGTAGAATAAGCGTAGGCTCGGTAATCTTATAAAAATATAGGATAAGTATAGAGTTAAGGAACTAGACTAGAGTCGGGAAACTGTTAGGGTACTTATAGGCTCTTGCCTTAACCGGTGCCCGCTTCGGTAGGTACTAGTATAGAGTAAACAAACCTAGATAAGGAAGGCGGGCCGCCTAGTCTAGCGATTAGAGGGCTATAGAGCGCCGTCGATTAGAGGGCTATCGGTATATAGCTATATATATACAGAAGATAATATATAGAATTTAGAGGACTATTGTAATCGTCTCGGTATCGAGCGTAGGTAGTTATTATAGTTAGGTAGGTAGGTCGGTACCGCTAGTACGGGACCTCGCGGTCGCGTTTTTTTAGTTTTTTTAAGGTACCCGTTCGTCTAGTACTTAGGTACTATTCGAACGGATCTAGATCTAACTAAAGCGAAGCTACTAATTATCGCGCAAGGGACGAATTAGTAGACGTGCTATAGTATAGTATTAAGGTAAGTATCTATAGTTCTATAGAAAGTATATACTAGGCTTAGCTAGCGTACCGTCCCTACTATAACATTCCTACTACGAAGCGCTCTTCTAAGACAAATAAGAAGCATCTCTACGCCTAGTTTAAAAGCGAGGACGGGTTTCCTTCTACTAAATATAAGATACTAACTTCGGTTAAGAAGTAGCTCTATACCTAGTCTAAGAGCGACGACGGGTTTCTTTCTACTAAATATAAGATATTAATATTAGTTATAAAGTAGCTTATAGCTACCGCTATACTATCGACCTCTAACTATAACTATCCTACTTAGAAGTAGACAAAGTCGATCTCTATTAGTAAGCTAATATCGGTCTAGTCCGATAGTAAGGAGAATATTAACGCTTCGAAGCTAAAGAAGTTCTTATTAGAATCTATTATATAGGAGTAGGTCGACGGCTTCTTAGAGAAGATTTCGAAGTAAGACGATAGCTTATTAAAGAAGCCTCTAAAGTAGGTTAATAGCCTATTAAAGTAGCCTATTAAGTATATCGACGACTCGCTAACGAAGCTTCCGAAGTATATCTCGTTTAACGAGGGCTCTAGTTAGCTTCCTACTAATTCTAATACTAGCTATACTAACTATAGCGCTACCGATACCTAGTCTTTCTCTACTATAACTATCGTCGATAACGTAGTAGGAAGCATTCTAGATAAGCTTCGTAGCTAGATTAATTTTATAAAAGTCTACGGTATACTACTAGCGGAGATTACCGATATCGTCCTATAGAAGATAGCGGCCGAAGAAGGTAGCTCTACGCCTATACCTCGCCCTAATACTATAGTAGAGAATAGCGTTTCTAGTTACCTATATAGTCTTGTCTAAGTTCTTCGGAGCTATAGGATAACGCCGAGAGAGATTGCTACTATCTTAATAAGAAAGATATTAGATAAGTAAAACGTAGCTTCCTCTAATACGACCTCTACTAGTATTAATCTTCTTATACTTTAATGCTTGCTTCGGCGAACAAGCTTTGCGATATAACTAGTATTAAGGATCGCAACTCGCTATACGATATACCTTAAGTACTATGCGACAATGTTAGAAGAAACAGAAAAAAAAGAGGACACGTTTAATAGCTTACAGAAAGCGAAAATGGCATTCCGTAACGACTAGGATATCTTTGCGATACAACTAGTATCAAGGATCGCACCTAGCTGTGCGATATCCCTTGGGTGCTATGCGAAAACGTTAGAAGAAATGAAAAAAAAGAGGACACGTTTGATGGCTTACAGAGAGGGAAAGTGGCATTCCGTAACGACTGGGATATCTGTGCCATTTCATGGTCTCATAGATGCAGAATCGCAGTTCACCTACCAAGCAGATTCAGTCAGTATCATGCATTATCTCGCCTTATCTCCTCTGTTTTCGCAGGTCGGTTGACATTATTACACCTGCGGGAAAGGTGTTGTCAGACGGCAATTCGCTGTTTTCAGCCACCACCGTTAGCCGGTCAAGGCTGAACAATCGAGGCACTCACCATCACGTCCATGTTCGCGCTTCAAATTCTTCCATTCACTTCGTCAATGACACCTGGTGCTTGCTGTATGGAACGCTGTAGTGACGCTACATCATTGACTACTTTTGCTCCTGGCGCCGCGTATGAAGATCAAGCCCTTCTCAGATCTCCGGCATCGACCAGCAACGAGTGTCAATCCGGCAATGCCAATCCCTAGGAACACACACCACCTCAAGTCATCGAATGCATACAATATCGAGCCATCTTGGCCCTCAGTCTCGTCAAGGCAGTCACCTGCCTCACGTTGGAGGCTCGCCATCGCCACCGAAGCTGGCATCGTTATGGCCTAAGTTGCGCATGCCTTCGTTGGTGTTGAGACATCCGCAGTCCCGTCTGGAGCTGCGAGTCCTCAACCTGCACGACCAGGAGTTGGTACCTCGCACATTTGCTTGTCAGTTGCTATCCCTTCTGTAGCGATTCCAAGGCCTTTCCCGTTGTTCCTTCGAGCTTCAGCAGTAGCATAAATTACTGCTGCCGTCGAATTCGGACATGCAGGAGGAGACATACAGAAGGAGAAGCCAAGAGCAGATACCAGTCGTATTCGGACATGCAGGAGAGGTCAAGAGCAGATACCGGTCGTATTCGGACATGCAGGAGGAGACATGCAGAAGGAGTAGTCAAGAGCAGATACATGCGCTGTTGAGCCATCACGGCCACGCCCACCAGCGTGCAGGCCAGCACATCTTTTCCCGTAGGCGTCCGCTGACAGCGAAAGTAGAAGCGCTCGCACCAGGAGATATCTGCGCAAGTTGATCCACACGAGGAAGAAAATGCCGACATCATTGCTCGTGTGCAGGCGTTCTTGGAGCGGCAAGATCGCGGAGGTCTTCATAGCTATGCATCCGCATCAAGCGCCACAGTTCACTAGATAACGATCAAGACTCACAAGACATGCCTCTGCTTCCTCCTCCAGACACTTGGAAATGTTCTCCGCTGCTGCCACGCCATATGCGACACGTCCATTCGCAACCTAGCTCTCAGAAGTGCAGAAGACAACACGGATACGTGCTTACCAAATGTCCGCTAGGCGGGATGTATCATAGTGGCAGCCCATTTCGCTTGATTCCTCCGACGGCCGGAAACCATATCCTGGTTTAAACAACACGAAGCTTTTACAAAAACGATCGGCTTTGCTTTGCCAAAGATGTTTTCTTTTTTTCCTCCTACGCTAACGCCAACGCTTGACAAGGTCCGGGAATGAAGAAGAGATTATACACGAAGCTTCTTGAACTCCCCAAGCGCTTGCTGAAGAAGTTCCTCAAGTGGTGGTCTGTCGTTGTTGCTTCCTTCGACTGGTAGCCTGGTGCTTCTCTCAACTGCTGGGATGTTGCTTCTCTCAACTAGTGGCCTGGTGCTTCTTCTAACTGGCGGACAGTCGTTCTTGATTTTCTGCTGCTTCTTCTCCCTGTCTTCATCTTCCATTTCCGTCTTGATGGGTTTTGGGTGTGGTCCCTCTTCCTGTCCGGCAGAGCGCCGCGTCTTGTTGGAAGGCGAGTGGCCACTGAGCATCGATGATGGGGGAGACTTGGCGATATGATCCTCGACTGCGCGAGTTACTGCTTTCTTTTGTAAGCAATTGGGTGGGTAGGCAGACTAGACTAAGACTTACAGGCTGCTAGACGTCTTTCCTGATGAGAGGAGAAGCGTCTAGGCATATCAGCGTCGTCGCCCTCCTTTTAGCCGGCCGGAGGAGTATCCGATTCCACCGACGCCTTGTCGTAAGGAGGGGGAGAAGAGTTGGATAACGATGACCGCGATGAAGAAGCATGCTTAGGGCCAGCCTGCTACACATCCTCTGTCTGCTTTCGAGGAGCTTTGCCCTGAGCCGGATTCAGATCATCCGGATCCCAAAACTTCAGTTTCTCCCGGTCGTACTCCCTACGATGAAGCTCCCTCGCCTATTTGTCGGCATTCTTGAATGCTGCAGCCTGCAGAGCCGACATTCGCTATTCGAGGTCTTCCGGTACAAACGGGACGTTGTGAGGGTAGACAGCGAAAACAGCTTGCTCTAAGACGTCCTTGTCCGCGGTAGCGAGACCCACTATAGGTATGTTTTGCCTGCTGCACTAGTCCGCAATGCGGCACTTCTACTAGTTCCAGAAATATAGTAAAGGCTTGTTGCTCTCGCGAATGTTACGATAATTATCATCGTAGCTAGTTAGTCCCCTATTCTAGGAGACGAAGATATATAAGCATAAAGAAAGCATTTAGTCTAGATAGAGGAAGTTAGTACTTACCTTTTTAATATCGACGTAGCCTGCAGCTTATGCAAGCGTAAGCGCTTGTTCTCGGTCTATAGTCCCGGCTATAGTAGATAGTAATATAAAATCTTAGATCTTAGGGTAGAGGGAGAAGGAGAATAAGAAGCTAAGGGGATAGAAGCAGCTAGGTAAGATAGAATGTAACGGAACTCTTAAGAGACCGGTATTCCGCAAGGTAGTAAGTACTATAGCGGCGTAGCCGAAGGTAGTAAGGTAGTTAATTCGTATACGTAGGTATCCGGTCCTAGGTTAATAGGCAACCTAGTCGCGCTATAGGTATAGCACTACTCCTATCGGTAGCGTCTAGCGATAGTTTTACGTAGAAGTAGCCGATATAGGAATTGTATACTAAGATTATAGTAAATTAGGACAGGCAGGACGATAAGCAGTATAGAACTTAGCAATATACTATTAGTCTTCTATAAGTCTATTAGGGATTCTAGTATTTCGTTTCGTAGTGTAACTATTCTTAGTGCTTCTTTAAATACTACCTACCTCTCTATATCTTAGAGATATATGCTATTATTTCCTATCGTCCTCTTTATAAAGCTTTATATTATAGCAATTTCGGGCTAAGACAGATACGGCATCGCTATGTCTCGGCGCGATAGTGTTAATAACGATGTTAATAATAATACCTATTCGCGACGAGCATCCTTACGCCTTCTCTCTTCTATATATAAATCTTTATTTATATAGCGCTTTCTCCTCCTCGGGTATAGCATCTAGCGTAGAGTAGTATCGAGAGTAGTACGAAGCATAGCGCGATACGTAGTAGAGTTATCGCCGTTACTACTAATCTCGCTATACTCCCGCTCGTCCTACTCCTCCTTAGCTTCTATATTATCTATCTCGTTACTCTTATTACTCTAGAGACTCTTATTACTCTAATTACTCTAATTACTCTAAAGACTCTCGTTACTTAAGCTCTACTCTACCCTCTCTAGCTACTTCTTTACCTTCCTCGAAGCCTTCGCCTTAGTAGGCTAATTAACGGATTCGCGCGTCTTCTTCTTCTTCTTCTTCTTCTTCTTCGACGCCGATAATTTGTCGCTACCGGTATAGACCTTACTATTCTTTATAACTAGAGACTCGAGAGCACCGACGATATCTATAGCTGCCTTTCTCTTTGCTATACTACGATTCCTGTCCTTAGCGCCGTTTTTAAGCGCTACGTTAACGCGGGTAGAGAGGTAGGGATCGGTATTAACGAGTTTTATAGTAGTAGGATCTAGAGTAAGTCGGGCGGAAAAGATAGTCTCGGAGGTAATGCTAAAGTAGGCTAGAGTATAGCGGAGGCCCTAAAGAAGGGCATTAAGTCGAGAAAGGGTGTCTATAGTAATAATAAGGGTAGTAGTCTACTAAGGAAGTATATATAGACAGAGTACTAGCACTTAGTTATACTTCTAAGTTATATTAGTCGGAGCGCCGATATAGGTAGCGGAGGTGCGACTAGCGAGTAGTAGGCGGTAGGCGGTAGGCGATAGGCGATAGGCGATAGGCGATAGGCAATAGAGACATTCTCTGTCCTTCCTTACGCTCGACGTCGACGTATATATTATGCTATAGTGCACTATAGCTAGGCAAAGCAAAGTAAACGTTAAGGTAAAGGAGATAGAGATAGACGCCGCCGGACCTATTCGCGAAAGCTATATATAGTAGCGGGATAGGCGCGAGTATACCTAGAGCCGTACCGTCTCGAGGCCGACAATAGCGACACTACTAGCTAACAATGCGAATGCTTATATAGTATACGTCGAGGAGATCCGCTACGACATCTACGATACCGCGTAGAGCTAGTATTACGTTTAGCTTAAAACGTAGAAGGTACGCGTCCGCTACGATAGTCTGCTAGTATATATATAATAGTATACGGCTTTCGAGGTTAGTTTCGTATACGCTATAGCATAGTATAATCTTCTACTAATTACTATTCCCGCGATAGCGCGCGCTAAGATCTACGCCTGCCGAAGAAGCTAACCGAACTAACGCTAATAGAACTACCGTCGCCTAGGAGTCGTAGTATAGCGAGTTAACTCTCGACCTCTGCCCGCTCCTCGACGGCTCCGGCGCGCCTATTAACTCTATGCCCGTATCTCTGCCTCTGCCGCATCCTTTTATAGCTACGCCTACTACTAGCAATGTCGCGCCGTTATTCGCTTCGAATCCCGCACCTATATATTAACTAGTGCCGCTAATGCTAACTGCTACTACTACTACTACTACTACTACTACTACTACTGCTACTTATCCTCGTTATCGTAAGCTAGCTAATTAATCTACTAAGCCTACAATTATTGTTAAGGAAGTCTCGTCCGATTAGGAGTCTATATCTTCTTCGTATTATTACTCCCCCGATAAATAGTCTAACTAAGATACCCTCTTCGTCTCCTAACGCAAAGCGACTGCCGCTACTCCTACTCGCTACCCGTATAATCTATCGTCTAGCTATCGTTATTAAGTCTCGTCTAAACGTAAGTCCTCCGAGAAGCGAACCCGCGATACTCCTACTATCGACGTTAACGCGCTTAACTAGCGTATCGCTTTGCTTAAGCGATAGCTGTCGGAAAAGACTAGGTATAATAGATATAATTAACGTATAGATAGCGGTCGCGAGAAGAGGCGTAAAAGGGGTAGGGCGAGTAAAAGGCAGAGGAAGACGACGGCTTCGTAGGTATCTAAAAGTAAGTAAAGGATAAGGGAAGGCTAGTAGGGGAAAGTAAAAGAAAGGCGCATTATCTATTTAAGCCTTACCGTAGGCAGATAGTCGTATATAATACGTCTACGACTACGACCTTACTTCTATTCTTTTCCTCTACCGAATGTTATTAGACTTCTATACCCTATACTATATCGCCGGCCTTGCTATAATTAGTAATAACGAACTTAATCTCCTCTACGAAACGGTAATCGAAACAAACGCCTAGCTCGGCGCTACTCTTACGTATACTCTAGGTTAGAAATCCTCGATCTTAATTTTAGATAAGCTTAAAGCGAGACCTCGTAAGCGAGGAAGTATAAATAAGGGAAATTTTGCTAAGCGTATTAAGGATATAAGTATAGCGAATAGATTAGAGAAGGAGGAATAATACGTAATTAGCCTACTACGATACGCCGTAAAGCCGCCGTTCTCTAGCTATACTCTTAACTTAGGATCGGGGTCGGGATAGCTTTAAGTTAGCGGACGGTAGGCTTAGTACCGATATAGAAACGCGTATAATGCCCTACCCTACCGAGATCTAGAGAACGGCGACTAAGACTAGCTGCCGCTATATTACCCTTTACGCCCTCTCTTAATTAAATTGTTTGTTTGCTAGAGATCTAGAGCCGGAGCGGTTAGTTCGCGTTTAAGCTAGTCCTTCCTATCCTTACCTTCTTCGCCTAACCTAACCTACCCTTCCTCCTTCTCGTACCTTCCCTTTTCTATATATCCTTTTTCTTTTCCTCCCGATACGTCGATTCGGCTACTATCGCTTACTAACATGCCGCGCGTACCTAAGGCGAAGTCTACGCGAGGGTACGGGTATAGCGGCTACGACTCGGACGATAACTCCTTCTCCTCCTCTAGCTCCGATATGAATGACTTTATTACCGCGTTCGCAGGTCGCACTATTGCTAAGCTTAAAGCCGGTACTACGTCTTCTAGCATATCCTTCTATGCCTCGTCGTTTCCTGTTCGTCTAATCCTCATCTCTAGGAAAACCAATTCATTACTCTAAGGACCTCAAGAAGACTATTATTACCTACGGCATTATATACGCCTACTGCGCAAAAGCACTACCATCTCTTCCAGTCTTTCTGGACCTTTTCCTCGAAAAACTCGCTGGCAAGAATCTTCCTAAAAGCAAAACCGTTACCAAAGCCTGCATCCAATCCGTCGCCACCGAAATCTCAACCTTGCTATCCGCCAGCGGGACCGGAGGTTTGATCAAAGACGACCCAGTCCGCGTGGCCACAGCCCTGATCAAAGTCGTCGACGAGGCCAGGCTGGAAATGAACATGTTCAGGAATGGCTTCCTCGAAGATCTGCACGCCGAATCCGGGAGGAAGATGAAAGCCGTGGTTGTCGCAGAGGATGCTTTACCAGTACGTTCCCACCCTCCTTCTTCTCTTCCGCCTTTTGCGCTTGAAAATGACCATCGATGCTATCCATCTAGACTTCTCCTCCATCCCTCGCCCGTCTCGTTATCTCCCATCTCATCCAAACCGGCTACTTCAACCGTGCAAACAACAACGCTACACCCACCCTCTTCGGCCGCCAACAACCCATACTCCCAGCTCCCGCACGCTACAGCAACAGCACAACCACCATCACCAACGCCGACGCCCAGGCCCTCGCCACCAAGAAGAAATCCGATCGCGCACAAGCCCTCGCCTACAAGAATTTCGCCAAATTCGTTTGTGTCGCGACGAAAGATGAGGGTGCGATGGAACAGGACCTGCTCGATATGAGCTGGAAGTGGAATGGTGGCAAGATTCATTTCGATGAGGCCAAGGACTATGTTGCGTGGCAGCAGTGGCTTATGGAGGGGCGCATTGATGGAAAGTTCAATGCTTTGGCGTTGCCGGAGGATGAGGATCAGGACGTAGAGGGTGGGGATGGGGATGGAGAGTAGGAGGGTGCATAATTGATTGATCGTTGTTCTTCGTCGTTGGGTGTGAAGAATGGCATGGCATGGCATGGCATGGCATGGATGAGTTGGTGTCTACCGTATGATTGAGATCTCGCTGTTGTATCATACATACTATAAGATGCAGACATAAGTAGTCTGTTTTGAGGTCTGAGAAAAGGGTTGGTTTTCTTTACGATTTGCTTGCCTTCTCCTATGCTTCTCTGGGATTTCTCTTTAATTTTCTTCTTCTTCTTCTTCTTCTTCTTGTAAGAAACTAGGGTATGGCGCCAAGGTAGTTGCTGTCGCCGCTTTGTGTGTATCGTAAAGTAAGGAATGGAAGGTAGTTGTTGTGCGTAGGCTTGCTCTGCAACAGCCGCTGCCTTCTTCTTAGGCTGTATCCCGTCGCTTGTAAGCTCGTATGTGAATTCCCTACGTCTTGCTTCTCGGCAGGTCTGAATATACAAAATGGGTGATCATAACTCATTCCATTCTCTTAAGTAGCAGCTGCTGAGATTTCTGAGACATGATGTTTGATTCGGCGTTGCTAAAGCGGAGAGAGAGGAGTTGCAAAATAGGGAATTATAACTACGATTTCATTCTCTTAAGCAGCAGCAGCAGTAGCAGCTGTTGAGATTTCTGAGAAATGAGACTTGATTCAGCGTTGCAAAAGCGAGATCGGAGTTGCGTATAGTATGGCAGAATTCTAATCTTAACAGTCCCTCGTGCCTTTCTACCCG